ATTGTGAATCTTACAGATTGAGGAAGATGTTTGGTATTCCAAGTGGATTATGAATGAATGTGCTTCTGAGCAAACACACTTAAAAATGGCCATATCCAGATTTACTGTACTTTCATAGTAATGAAGGCATAAATGATAACAGTGGGGATACATGAGAAGCAGCATCTGAAGCACTTTGATCGATCTTGTAGCAGATGAAGGGCTTTCTCACATGGCTAAGGCTGCTTTGTGATGTGTTAAGAATAATGTGCATTAGGTCTATGCCACATTATTTTAAAATTGAAGCACTTTATTGCTCCAGCAACCCATTTGAACCATTCTAAAAGCACTGGTGAGTTAGAAACTGCTCTACAATTCAGGCCTTGCCTTATGGTTACAGAGTATCCGCATATGGTAGATCATTAGAAAACAATAGAAGGGTCTCTTCTCTTTTGTTAAGTCATTGCTTTTTGTTTAGTTTAAGACATCACAATCAAACATCGCAAAAGAACCGCATTCTGGAATATGGCTTCCTTAAAATTGCCAAATGACTTTCTGTCCTGGAAAGCCACAAGTGGGAAACAAATGTAATCCAGGACACAATAAAGCATTATATTATTTTCAGTGACGTTACTAATGTCCATGTCTGGGAAAGGGAAACAAGTAGCCAATCAGACAGTATCAATGTCTGTTTCAAGATGGGTTCAAGTGGATAGCTCAGTGGCTTAGGCATCTAGCTGTGGAGCCACAGGTTGGGAGTTCAAGCCTCCACTATGCCTTCTGTGAGCAGAGGCAGCCTGTGTGGTCTTGAGCAAGCTGCACGGGAGGTTTTATACCAACAGAGCTGAGTCTGTAGAGTAAATTACAGGTATTTGTAGCTCTAAATAAAGAAACTCAGAAGGGCAGATCTACAACAGTTCCATCACAAAATCAGAATGCCGACAGCATAGAACTTCCAGTTATTGGAGGAATAGGTGATCTTGTAGGAATTGTCTACACTTTGAGGAATTTTGTAACTGGTGAACATCTTCCTTGAAGCAGACAAAGTTGGCTTATCATAGTTGTAGGTTTTTCGGGCTCTTTGGCCGTGTTCTGAAGGTTGTTCTTCCTTACGTTTCACCAGTCTCTGTGACTGGCATCTTCAGAGGAACAAGAGTAGGAACTCTGTCCATGCTCTGTTGCTGTTTGTTGGGTGGTTGAGTATTTATAGGTGTGGGAACAGCTTTTGTTCTTTTCAGGAGATAGGGTGATGATGGTGATTAGAGTGTTTTTGTTATGGATGTACACAACCAAAGAGCCCGAAAACCCACGACAACCATCAGATCCCGGCCATGAAAGCCTTCGAGAATACATTGGTTAATGATACTTGGTGCTAATTTAAGAGCCCTTCTAAACTCAAATCTATCCAATTCTTTAAGTTAATCATTTGTTATGTTTAAAAATATATTTGGCAGAACTTTATTCTTTGAGGCTACTGTATAATTTGGGTCTAGGGCAAAATGTCTGTGCTTAAGGAGGGCTAAATGGCAATAATTCTATGTTTTATTTTCTTCTCTTGGTTAGATTGCCTCTTCTGGTCCATTCTGGTCTCAGAACATGAATGTAGCATTTTGAGAAGAAGATATAACCTAGCAGCCCAGCAATGGATGCAAAGATAGAAAAGATCTCCACAGCTACCATATATTTCCCTATGATGCTCAAGTATATTGAAACAAAGGATAATCAAACACTGAGGAGGTTCAATATGCTGGAAATGATGAACTTCGCTTCAATGAAACTGTTCTGTATCTTTCTAGCCTGGAAAGTATCCATGAAACTCACAAAGGCTAGGAAGCCCATTTAACTCAAAGCTAAGTGAAACATAATCACAGAACCTACATTGCATTGAAGTACGATTTCTCTGGTAATTGAGTTCTTGTCAGTATCAGGGAAAGGGGGAGAGGAAGCCAAACATACAATACAAATGCTCACTTGAATAAGGGAACAAAAATAACAATGGAGTTGTCTGCTTTTTCCTTCATGCACTCCTGGCCTGGTAGTCAAAGAAGCCAGAACTATTATAATAGTTTTTGCCAGCACACAAGAAACAGCCACTGAGAAGATCATGCCAAAAGTTATGGGAAGAGATATGTTACTTTCGTAGGCTGGCCAATGAATAGTAAGACATAAGCAAAAGCAAGATAAGGACAATATAGGACAGATACCCAATGGTGGCTATCACAGTAGGAGTTTCATATTGATTCATAAATATTCCAAAGATGAAATCAGAGAGCAAAGAAAATGGTAGAGCAGAAATAGCTAAACTGGTCCCCAAAGATTCCTCATAAGGCAGGAAGATGACCACCATAGGAACACATTTGTTATGTTTTTTTTATTATTATTTAAGTAGTGATCTTCTTGACATGTGGTATGGGAAATAAAGTTAAGTTAAATTTTCAGAGCTTATTCCAGTGTGGCTTTTATTAATTGTAGACATTAGAAGTCATTCAAATTATGTGTACGCTTCAGATTCTGGAATGATTCAGAAAATGGAGAGGAGGCATTTGTCTAGCCTGTGAAATCATTCTGGTGGTGGAGATTTAGTAACAAAAGACATCCTCCTACCATCCTGCAGTCCCCATGGCTTCACAGCAATGAATTGGATTACAAGGGAGTCTCAAATATTTTGAAGCTGGAAACCTTTCATTTATGGAAAAAAAAAATCACTCTTCTTGGCAACAGCATCAGTCCTATGTGGCATTAAGGTACATTAGCAAGACTTCAGTTATTAACTCATTCATGTACCAGTGTAATTTCTTGCACCCTATAGCAGCCCTAATAGGGATTTCAAGGCAATTGAGATATTGAAAGAATGGTTTTACCAGCACCATACCTCCAGTGCATTTTCCTGGCTGATCCATCACTCTATCCACTACACCACACAAACAATTTAAATAACTGTTTCTGATATCAGAAATAGAAATATAGATATCAGAGACAGACAGGCCCAGAAAGCAGTGGTTAAACCCTTCACCCTTCCTGGACACTCTTTTCTTGATTCAGAGTTGCAGTTCCAGAACAAAGGAAATTTGACGATAGATTCCAAAGGGAGACAACTGAGCGGATATACATCAGGAGGTTCAGCATAAAGTTTCAACCCCTACAAACTGGATTCTTTCCAAAAAAAGAAAAGCAGGGGGAGGGGGCAAACAAATGTCTTTCAAGATATATTGGTTATGTTATCTCCATTTGTGTGGGTTATTTTAAATCTGGGACAGCTTGGGGTCATTTACTTATGAATTGTGGGGAACAGTTAAACATTTTTAAAAAAATCATAACTTATAACTCCTTTGCACAAACACCCCCCAAATGTAGCACAGAGC